GAACTCCAAAGTCCCTTCAAAACTGATAATTCTGTGGTCTATTTGTTCACCTAGATTGCAAATCCCTTGAAAGCCAAAACTAAGCTATATACTTCTTTGTCTCCCTCATATGTATTAACCAATCAATCAAGTCAACAAGCATTTATTAAGTGCTACTATGTGTTCTACTGACATTAGATGCTTAGTAAACGTTTGTTGATAACAATAGTTATTATAATATTCCCTGCTATAGGAAGAGAAGAGTTAGGAAAAGAAACACATATGGTCACAATACAGAAATATGGTAAACCCCAGTTATCTATTACCCTCAGTGAATAAGTCATCCCAAATAGCTGAGTTGTTTTTATTTTTTCTCAGAAAGTTTATGGTTTAGCCAATTTCTAAACTTTTTTATTTTGACAATTCAGTTGGAAATGTTTTGAAAATGCAATTTTAACTGATTTTAAATATAACATAGTGAATATAGTGTAACCTTTTCTTTATTACTCCTAAGGCTGTATTATAGTGATGCCTTCAGGGCTAGCAAGTTGGATCAGCCTGTTTGCTCTTACATTAAATAGCCTCAAGGCTACTCTGCTATTTGGATATTTTTCTTTGCTTATTATAGTTTTTGTGCTTTCTTTCTCGCTGTCAGGCTGTCACCTGGCACTTGTCCCTGCTGTCGGGATAACTGTCTCTACCAACTCTCCTCTCCTAGGCTAATTTGCTCTGGGCTTCAGAAACCAGAGAACTAAGCATTGTTAAAACTATGTGCTAAATAAGAGTAAATAGCCTCACTCAGATGCTAATAGTCCTAAGAGTCTTTCCTAAAAGTAAAGTGCATGAGCTCTCCTGCATAGATGTATATTGAATGTCACTCAAACGAAACTGAATCTCAATTATTTTAGCAAATATTAGTTACTAGTTGCTAGGACTAATCCAGAGAATGTTAGAAAGAACAGAATCCAGGGTCTAGAAGATATAGCTACCAACTTCTGCCTAACAGGCTATTGCAATACCTGAGAGTCCTAATAATAATTCCCATTTATATAATGTTTTATGTCTGCCAACTTTAAATTGGCCATCAATAACTAAGACTCCCCAACAAAAAGTGATGAGTATTTTCAAAAAATCCGTGTAAAGGTCTTGGTAATGTTTTAGTTATCATTACAATATCTTCTAGTGTTTACTTATAGTATATATGCTAATACATTGAATTTAATACAATGTAAAATAGCTTTTCTTCTTGTTGACCCATTTTATCCAAAGAATTTTAGCTGAATGGTACCTGAGAGGTCATCTAGTCTAAAAATCCTGGGAATAATTCCTTTGGGTAGTCCTGTCTATTTCAAAAGTTTGTTTGTGAGGAACTAATGATTTAATGATGGTAAAAGTGTTTTGGAAAAAGTGTAAAGTGCTATTTAAATATAAGGTTTCCTTGTTATGCCCTTTTTCATTTTACACATGGGGAAACTGAGGCACTAGTTTCAGTCCTGATAACATCCCCAAGGATATACAACTGATTAATTAGTGCTAGAACCAGAACTAGAGTACAAGGCTTTTGACTCTAATCCATGTTTTCTTTCCATGAAACCACTTCTTCTTCACCCTTTTTTGTGCAGAATGTTTTCTTTTCTTTTCCCACAGCACAATAAAAATTAAATGTGAAGTTAGTAATGAGTTTAATGTTTTTTAATTCAAACATACCAGAACTCATATGTAAAAGAAGTGCCATACTACAAACTAGAGATTTTATATATTTATTTTGCCTGCCTACTCCCCCCCACCCCAGAAAAGTCTACCACATTTCTGGAATTCTGTTTGGAAGTGTTTTCAAAGCCACCACATAACAAAATCAGGCTCATCCACTCATGACACCTTGTTTTTTAAGCAAAAGATGCCTTACCTTATCTATAACACTTGACTTCAAATTAATTTCACCTATTTTGAAAAAAAAATGAAACAATCTTAGAGGATAAAAATATCGCTAATATTAAAAAGTTTCCAATGAATATGTAATTAGAAAAAAAAGAATTCTAGAAATGTCACAAGCAGCATGGTTGGGGTGGGTACATAGACTCATAAGGGGATGACTTTGAAAAGGATAACAATCTGGGGCAGCTAGGTGGTGCAGTGATAGAGCACCAGCCCTGAAATCAGGAGGACCTGAGTTCAAATCCAGCCTCAGGCACTTGACACTTACTAGCTGTGTGATCCTGGGCAAGTCACTTAACCCCATTGCATAACCAAAAAAAAAAAGGATAACAATCATTGGATTCTAGAAGTGCTGCTATATTCAGAGCTTAGAGCAGGGAAAACAAAGTAGGCAGCCATGCAAGGAATAACAGGGCCCAGAGAAAAGGAAAAGGGGGTGAAAACAAAAGAAGCTTTTAAGACCTTATTTTTGATGACCATGTGTATTTTTTGTTGTTCAGTCATGACCCCATTTGGGGTTTTCTTGACAAAGACACTGAAGTGGCTTGCCATTTCCTTTTCCAGCTTATTTTACAAATGAGGAAACTGAGGCAAATAGGGTTAAGTGACTTTCCCAGGGAACCCCAGCTAGTACGCGTCTGAGCCTGGATTTGAACTTGGATCCTCCTGACTCCAGGCCCAGTGCTCTATCCATTGCACCACCTAGCTAACCCATGTGTATTTTAATGTCAGCAAATTCTGTTCTCAATGGCTGATGATTAATTATTTGTGATGTAAGCCAGGTCACATATGTTATAAGAGAAGTACAATGCAGAGAAATGAATGCTAGATTTGGAGTCTAAGGGTCTGGGTTCAAGTCCCAGCTCTGTGTTTAACTCTCTGGGTGATTTTGGACAAGATGTTTAATCTCTCTGTCCCTAATTTCCTACTCTATAATTAGGAAGTCAGATTGGACAGCCTCTGACTTCCTAGCTCTAAGTCTTTGACCCCGCAATAACAGATGTGATTTATTCCTGAAAGTTTCCTTTAAGTTGGATTATATTTATCAAAAAAAATTTATATCTTTTTATATTCTGTAACTGAGATTTACTGGTAAAGGCAAACCCCTATATGGGAACTTTCTGCACTAATACAGCCCCAGAAAAATCACCTGTCACCTAGATTCTGGCACTCGGAAGTGAAGGTATTTACTCACGGTCATATCGTTAGTAAGTGTCAACGGCAGTACTTGAACATAAAATGCCTAACACGTCCCACTAGTACATTTGTGTAGAAAACTTAAAATATACATGGCCAAAGAAATTGTTTCTTTATGTTCATTCATGATTATAATAGACTTAAGACAAAGAATTTTGAAATATTTCCAACCTAAAAGAATGGTGATAACATATATAAAATGTGGACATTAATGACTAATTATATCCAATTAGATTACAATTAAGATTTAACAATAAAGATGAGTTGGAGGTTTTCAAAAAATTGAGAAAAATAATAAATCACACAATCTTGTATTATGAAGTATTAAAAAAAATCCTTAATAGTTGCTTCTCTTTTTTGGGGGGGAGAGTTGGTAGTAATGAAAGGATTCTTACATCATACAAAACATGACTGGATTCCTTTATCAGAAAGCTATTGTGGACATTTAAAGGAATGCTACTATGGCAACCATATTCCCAATTTTACTTTTACTTAAAGTGAAAGAGAGCAGCCAGGACTTCATAGGAATCTCCCAGAATGAAGTTGCAGGTTGTGGTTCCTGGAACCAATTATATAGTTATTAGCCAGAGAAGGAAGGAAAAGGTAGAGCTGAATCAGACCTTCCACATGCCATTCCACATAAGAATTAGGAGTCATGAAAAAGTTTTGACTTAAAGAGTGAGACGATCAGTCTTATCCATTAAGAAAATTAAACATATTTATAGTCTAAATGTTATCATTCATAACAATACTCCAGGATATATAAGAGAGAGAATTTTTGGGACCTTAATCAAACAAAGTAGTTTAAATTCAATCTGAATATGTGAAAATGAGCCTAAAACATATAACATATCACATATTTCAGTAGCTGACTTTAAGTATACAACTAACCCTTGTCTGCTGATTTGTATCTCAGTGTATGTATGTATATATACTTATAGATATAATAGATATTTGTTTATACTGAATGGAATTTAATGTAATCAAAATTATTCATTTTCTACCTCACTCTGCTCTCTATCTCTTATTTATTCATAAATTGTTTGCCTATCCATAAGTCTGATATATAATATGTTCCATCTTCTTCAAATTTTCTTGTAATATCTCTCTTTATATTTAGGTCATGTATCCATTTTGACCTTATCTTGGTAAATGGTGCAAGATATTGGTCTATGTCCAATTTCTGTCAGACTGTTTTCCAGTTTTCCCATCAGTTTCTACCAAATAATGAATTCTTATCCCAAAAACTTAAGTCCTTTCACTTGTCAAATACAGGAAGAAAAAAAAAGAAGTTTACATGATAACTTTATTATATATTTAAAAAGAATAGCAAGTTGTACATAATAAATTTACAGTTTCACGTGAAGTCTTCTTTTTATTTATTCTACCATGTTATGGAAGTGCTTCTTTTATTTCATAAAGTATTTTTAAAAAAACCTATACTGAATGAAATTCTGTAAAGTATGCAATGTTTTCCATTTTACTTACCTTAAAAATGCATTAAGCCAGGTAATGTGGCAAAGCCAATAAACAACTGGCCTCTAAGGCAGGAAGACCTGATTTCAAGGCCTGCCTCTACCACATGCTGGTTGTATGACCCTGGACAAGTCACTTAATTTCTCAGTGCTCTAGATGAGTCTCTAAGATTACAGAACGTGGAGACCTGAATTGGTAAAGAGACTTTTCAAATCTGAGTATTTCTTATATCAGTGAAATCACACATCCAGTCTCTATCCTGGTCCCTGATTCATGGAAAGACATTAAAGATCTTTAAGCTAAAAGATACAGCTTCTTTCCAAAAGCAAAACTACAGTAATCCAAAGAAAATGAGAGCCAGATGGAGTCCCCTCTCCCTTGTTCCTTCTCACTGTGGGTCTCTCTTTCCACAGGTTGCGACCTGATCCCAGTGCAGTACCTGAGATGGGGTGATCCAGAACCAATTGCGGCTGTGGTGTTTTCCTGCCTGGGCCTGCTGGCAACCCTGTTTGTCACAGCAATCTTCATCATGTACCGGGACACTCCAGTTGTCAAATCTTCTAGCCGGGAACTCTGCTATATTATTCTGGCGGGCATCTGCTTGGGTTACTTGTGTACTTTCTGTCTCATCGCAAAGCCTAAGCAGATTTATTGCTACCTTCAGAGAATAGGCATTGGCCTCTCTCCAGCCATGAGCTACTCTGCATTGGTCACCAAAACCAATCGCATCGCCAGAATTCTGGCTGGCAGCAAGAAAAAGATCTGCACCAAGAAGCCAAGGTTCATGAGTGCCTGTGCTCAGCTAGTCATTGCATTCATCCTAATTTGCATCCAGCTTGGCATAATTGTTGCCCTTTTCATAATGGAGCCTCCTGACATAATGCATGACTACCCAAGTATTCGGGAAGTCTACTTGATCTGCAACACCACCAACCTGGGCGTCGTAACTCCCCTTGGTTATAATGGATTATTAATTTTAAGCTGTACCTTTTATGCATTCAAGACCAGAAACGTTCCAGCTAATTTCAATGAGGCCAAGTACATTGCTTTCACAATGTACACCACTTGCATCATATGGCTGGCCTTTGTGCCCATCTATTTTGGAAGCAACTACAAAATCATCACCATGTGTTTCTCAGTCAGCCTCAGTGCCACTGTAGCCCTGGGCTGCATGTTTGTGCCGAAGGTGTACATCATTCTGGCCAAGCCAGAGAGAAACGTGAGAAGCGCCTTCACAACCTCTACGGTGGTACGGATGCACGTAGGAGATGGGAAGTCGTCCTCAGCTGCCAGCCGGTCAAGCAGCCTGGTCAACCTGTGGAAAAGAAGGGGCTCATCCGGAGAGACCCTAAGGTAAATAAGGGAGGAGATAAAGTCATCCTAGTCAGGCCACGACCACTTCCATCTTGGGCTTTTCAAAAGGTGAATATGACCTGAAAAATAGTGGCAGTAGGAGAGACTTGATGCTTTCCTTCTGAGTCACTTATAGTTGGGTGTAACCAGGTTTGGGGTTAGGTTACCAGGCCAAGATTAGAAACAAGGAGGTCAGGATGCAGGGTAAAGCAGATGACCAAATAGGAAATGAGACCCCAGGAAAACAGAACACAGTTCAGTTACTAAGTCAAGGACGGAGGCACTGGAAGGCAATTAGAGTCAAAATTATACAGGGGGGGAGAGCCTTGGTACTGACTCACAAGCTTGGGATGGGGAAGAAACAGAGGAAAACATCACCAAAAGAAAGGAGAAAGAATAAGAGCCTGGCCCAACTTGTGATATCTTCTCTTCTACCTGATCCTGGCACCCAGGTTTATACCTATATGTCTAGCTCATTTCCTCCTTCACAGTCATCAAGCCCAGTCCTTGGCTAGGAAACTGAGTTGTTTGGGAGAATATCCTTGAGTAGTTGGATGGTTCATGATTAGGCAGCTTGAGTGTATAATCTAACAAACTACCCAGGAAGCTCACCCTTCCTTCTGGCCAAGGACCATGAGCAATGAAATTAAACACACATCATTTGGTCAAGTATCAGAATTTCAACCCCGAATGGTATTCCCCATTAGATATTAATGCCTACTAATTAATGAATAGCAATAAAATGCTAAAAATAACTTAGATCATCTTAACTGCTTAGGTGAAAAATTCAGGGCGGCCAAATAGTCTCCAGGACGTTGGATGTTGGGGAGTAGTGGTTTCCATAGCTAAATATATCTAGTCCTACCATACTTACTTAAGTGTGTTGTTTTTGCAAAAGAGGACAAACTAACTTGGAAAAAAAATTCTGAATAATCTTGTTCCAATCAGGCATTTTCTATTTTGCTTTCTCTGCATGAAAATTCCCATTTATTCTAACTGGTTCCATCAATAAGAATTGCCATATTACATAGTTTGAATGAAATGAGGTATAGGAGTCATTCTACTTGGGGATGACAATGACTAAGGACTCAGAGAGCTTGGAGTTTTCGCATGCTGCATGCCAGCCTCAGCTTACTTACACTGCTTCTCTTTCTCCTTGTCTCTGTTACTTGTGGGCTCTTCCCTCATTTGCCATGTCTCTTTCTATCTATCACAGATTCCTAACATTTTTGTGTCATAGATTCCTTTGGCAGTCTGGTGAAGTACTACGGACTCCTCAGAATAATGTTTAATGCATAGGAATTTTACAAATTACAACAAAATATATACATATAAACACACAAACCTATATGTGTGTACACATAGCCAGGGATCTGTGAATATACATATACACATGCATAAACACATATGTGTATATAGTTCACAGATATATGTATGTATATGCACATGTGTACATATATATGTGTATGTATAGTTCACAGATCCCAGGTTAAGAACCCCAGAATTCTAAATCATACACTTTACAACTGGATTAGAAACTCCTTCTGGGCAGGGGCTTTGTCCGCTGCTTCTGTGGCTAAATTCTTATCATGAGCCATGCAGAATCCTCTACAGAGTAGATGTTCCATAATTCCTGTTGACTGACAGTTTTGACCTCTACTGGTTCTATCCTGTCCATTCTTACCACCCTGTAGTTTCCTGCTGCTGCTGCAGTTTGCCACTCCAGCCTTCCTTTCAGGCTTTTGGGAGTTATAGAACTTGATGTTTTTTGTAGCTGATGTGCTCAATGCAATCAGAAGGGTGGTCAATGAACCCCACCAGGAAACTAGGTCTATATCTATTGTAAACACTTGGAAACTAGTAATGTAAATAGTTTGGTTTCTCCTATCTTCAAGTATGTATACCACTGCCCCCTAGTGGTGATAATTATTGTTGAAAAATTAAACCATTAACGAGTGATGGCAAGCATTCCCTTTCCCCAAGTGATTCTAGAACTATATCCCAGATGGGGACTACACTGTAGCAACTGATGATAGGGCTATCATAGGCAGAATTTTGGCTTTGAATTCCAGCTCTGATGCTCAATCTGTAATGAGAATCATAGATCTAGACTTGGAAAGGACTGGATAAGCCATGCAAATTTTCAGATGCTTTTTTCCCATGTGTAAAATGGGGACAATAATATTCCAGCTAATTATTTTCAGTGCCCCCTTCCTTCATCCTAGTAACTATGAGTTGAAGGATGAGCTGAAAGTCTAAATTAGAGCAGGTAATTCCCAAACATGAGTTTCCTAAATTTATCAAATAAAATCAATCAGAGAGATCTAGACTGATTACCTATATCTATCTATCTATCTATCTATCTATCTATCTATCTATCTGTTTGTATATACAGATAGATAGATAGATTTGTACTACCTACTTCATAGGGTTATTGTGAGAAAGTACTTTGTAAACCTTAAAGTGCTATAGATATGTGTTGGTATTATTACAGAGATGAACTCATTGCTTTTTGTAAATGATTAATATTCCTTTCCAATAGCTACTTTACTATTTTCATCTAATTCACTTCTAGGGAAGAGGGGTGGGGAAAGTCACTGGTGATGCTGGAAAAAAAATGTAACTTTCACCCCCCCCATTATTAGTCAATAAGTCAGTTGATTCAACATGCATGTAATTATTAAACATTTAGTCTGTTCCAGAACTTACTGCAGTGTCTAGTACTTAATAAATGCTTTTCAGGAATTATTATTTCACTTATTTTTCCTACAATGTAATGTAGTTCTGGGTGATTGGATTTGTATCAGTACATTTGGTTACAGGAATCTCATATGGATGAACATTTTCCAAGTGGTTCTTCTTCAGCAGGGTAGATGGATGTGCCCATAATACACTAGGCAAGATTTAGAGCTTTTTTTCTTGAAGCCCAGATTCTAAGCTCATTTGCCATTCTAGCAGAGTATACTGATGTATGGATAGTGTAGTTTTCTCATCTCACCAAGAGATAGAAGTTTCCCTTTCCAGGTAAATAAATGCTTCCCTAAAGGATCTCCTACATGCACCTTTGTTTAAGGTTTTTGTGATGCAAAAATGTCCAAAATTTCTAATATATGTATTTCTTGGAAAATTTAGCATGATTTTCCCTGACAATCATAATTATAGCTCACAATGAAGTAGTGCTTCATAATTATAAAGGAATTTCATAACTACAACTTAATTTGATCCTTTCAAGAACCTGGTCATCTAGTCAGGACATGACTATTTCATCCCATTTTATAAGGAATGAAACTTAACCCTTAGGAGGTGAAGTAATTTGTTTGACATCTGCACCTTTTTTATTTTCATCAAAATATATTAATGTTTAAGAATGTTAGGGCCTTAAAGAATACATGGGACACATAGAACTTATAGGGTACAATTGAGTACACTGTACTTCTAAAATAAACCCAGTGATCCTTCCTCTACGCTATGTGGTAAGCAACTTATATACCAATACACACAGTCAAATTTTCTGATCCATTTGGGTAGAAAGAAACCCAGGGTTGTAAATTCAAGTTGGTATAGACAGTTATTGATGGAAGCAGTGGAGGGGGGAGAAGAAATGGGGAAGAAGAGGAAATGAAGATCATCATAGACTTATAGATGAAAGGTACCTTCGAAGTCATCTAGTCTAACCCCAGAAGAGGAACAGAGGTTAAATCATTTCTCAAAGGTCATACAAATAGTATGAGAGCTGAGACTTGAACCCAGACACTCTGACCCCCAAATAGAGCTCTCTTTCTACTGCATCCTGATTCACTCTAGGTTAGTGTATTTTATACATATTATCTAACTCATGCAAGTCTGAGAGGTAGATAATACAAGTGTTAGTGTCCTCACTTTACAGAAGATGGAACTGAGGAATGTTGAGTGATTACCTATGGTTACACAGCTAACAAGGGTCAAAGATGAGATTCAAATCCAACTCTTCCTGACTAACTAAATCCAATACTCCATAGATAAAAGATCACTTCATACAATTGTACCACCACTTACCCAATGTGTGCCACAGACTGGAAGATCCTAAAAGCGAGCATAGCTAATGGCTATCTATGAAGATTCTATCTGTTTCATGCCCTTTTCATATCTGGCATACCAGTGGTGAAAATACTCATATCAGAGGCTGATACCTGGAAAATGATTCTCCTCTTTAATCAGAAAGGGGCCCAAATAAGTCTAATTCCTTTGCTACATCATAAAGAGAACTATTTCTCTCTCTCTGTCTCTATCCAGGTCTGTGTCTCTGTGTCTTTCAGTCTCTATCTCCCTCTGTCTGTCTCTCCCCCGTCTCTCTCTGTCTCTCTGTCTCTCTCTGTCTCTCTCTCTCTCCTTTCTTCTCATCTCCTCGCCTCTCCACAAAGGAAAGAATGGATTATCAGAGCAAATTAATTTGGAGTTCAACCTATTCAGTGTTATCTAGAAAGCCAAATAGACCTACCCTAAATTGGATGGAAGAAAAACCCTCCAAGTCAGTCATACAATTCACTTAAATAGCAGAGAGAAGTTTATTTAAAAGGAATGAGTCACTATAGAGTTTTTAAAGAAACATGCTATTTATGCCACCTATGTTTGGAGGTCCCTGTGATTAACATCCTGACTCTTGACACTAATTTATAGCACAAGGCAGTGCTGCCTCAATTCATTGTCAAACTGAGAATGCCAGAGCTCCATTTATCATTGGCCCATCAGCTGCAAATTGACAAAGAAAATGCTTGCTCTGGCCTAAATAAAGATATGCGTCTAGATGCATCTTAAGCTCTGACTCTATTCAGGATTGCACAGTTCAGAATTCCCTAACTCTGTTCTAAGGTAGAAAGTTACCTGAAATACTCAGGTATTGATAGAAATTCACATATATACAGAAATATACATATATACATATACATTTATGTGTGTATATCTCTCTATGTGTATATATACATGTATATATGTATGCGCATGTGTGTATACATACATTATAT